CACCTGAGTATCTGTCTGACCTGCTGCATGTATATGTTCCAAGTAAGACACTTAGGTCAGCCGATAACGGCCTGTTGGCAGTTCCTCACACTAGGCTTAGAACTAGAGGTGACAGGGCCTTTGAGTCCATTGCACCCAGAATGTGAAACGCCCTCCCACAGAACATGAGAGCCGCAGCATCGGTTGATATCTTTAAGAAGCAACTTAAAACCTAACTGTATAGGCAGGCATTCTTTAACTTGACTTAAGTGATTTAGTTTTGCAACAACTGTTTCATTTTTGTGTCTCTGTATGTGACCTGTATGTTTGTATGTATGTATTCTTGTTTGTATTTTAATCCTGTGAAGCACTTTGTGAGTCCTCTCTGTGAAAAGTGCTATACAAATAAATTTTACTTACTTACTTACTTACTTAGATATGTTCATCCTACAAAGACAACTGACAGCAACAAAAGGGAGGAAAGTTTGTAAAGCAAGTAAAACTTGATAGCAACTATATGATTAGCTTAAAGGGCCAGTGTGTAAAATGGGTTGAAAACCGTTGAAAACAGTGACATCAGTGGTCAAATTCTAGATTGCAGGGCTCACTCGCTCACCCCTCCCATCGAGTAAATGACGGTGGCCTCGTAGGGACAAAAAGCCTTGCACAGACACAAGTTTTTCAGGAGTAGGTCTATCTAGCGACGAGGTGACTATTTATTTAGAAATCTAAACCATGTTACGATATTGTAATGAATCACTCAGGAGCAGGAGACCAGAGTAGCGTTACCACACACTCCAGGGGGTAGCACGTAAAAGACTCTGTCCCAAACTGACTCTTCCAGCGTAACACACACACTTCATACACACATAGTCACTTACAGTACCCAGCGGGGCAGCCCTCCCCTCTCTGCTCCACCAATCTCCAGCCCACACACTGACTGACAGCGGCTTGACTTCAAGCGTAAACAGAGCTCAGCTGTTTATTTAGCCTAGCAATATCTCCGGACTATAGTAGCTGCAATGGACGACTTTGAACTCGATTTTGAAGAGTTTCTTGTAGCAGACAAAGACCCAGAGCCATACCTGTTTGAGCTGGAGCACACAGATGAGGAACTCCATGTGTTTGATGCTGAGCGGGCAAGAAGAGAGGCTGAATGCACAGAATGGGATTCAGTGCTACTGCTGCCATCGCTGGGGAGATATATCACCAGGAGGAAAAGCGCCGCAGAGAGTGCATCACAAGGAGTGAAGTTGCGTCTTCTTTTCCTCGCAGATGATGGTTCGGGTTCATTCTCTCCTGTTGCGTGGTAAGTGTGGTCCATTCACAAACTTTATAACTAAAAAAACTTTTCACTATTCTCTATCGACGAGCTACTAACACTCTGCTGTTTCCTCCTCCTTCTTCCTTCCTTCCGCTGTCTTCGTTGGTTTATTTATACACGTGAAACGCGTTCTCTAGCTGGCTGGATTGTCCGCTCGGGCTGCCTTACATACATGGCGGCGCAAGATGGCAACCTCTCTAAAGCAAGGCTCTTGCTATATATATGTATAAAAGCATAATTATAAGGCTACGAAAACCAAACGAATTGTATTTTATAGCGATTATACACTTGTATAAACATATTAATGGGTAGAACATTCAGATTCAGATTTGACAATAAACCATGCCAAATATTACACACTGGCCCTTGAAGGAGATAATGGCAAAATGTGGTTAGATTAATTTAAGGTGACGCCCATAGTCAGCTGACTGAGTAGAAGCTGGAGTTTTACAACAACTATAAGTGAATGGAATATACACTCACTGGCCACTTTATTAGGTACACCTTGCTAGTACCGGGTTGGACCCCCTTTTGCCTTCAGAACTGCCTTTATTCTTCCTGGCACAGATTCAACAAGGTGCTGGAAACATTCCTCAGAGATTTTTGTCCATATTGACATGATAGCATCACACAGTTGCTGCAGATTTGTCGGCTGCACATCCATGATACGAATCTTCCGTTCCACCACATCCCAAAGGTGCTCTATTGGATTGAGATCTGGTGACTGTGGAGGCCATTGAAGTACAGTGAACTCATTGTCATGTTCAAGAAACCAGTTTGAGATGATCTGACCTTTGTGACATGGTGCGTTATCCTGCTGGAAGTAGCTATCAGAATATGGGTACACTGGACATAAAGGGATGGACACGGTCAGCAACAATACTCAGGTAGGCTGTGGTGTTTAAACCATCCTCAGTTGGTACTAAGGGGCCCAAAGTGTGCCAAGAAAATATCCCCCACACCATTACACCACCACCACCAGCCTGAATCGTTGATACAAGGTAGGATGGATCCATGCTTTCATGTTGTTTACACCAAAGTCTGACCCTACCATCTGAATGTGGCAGCAGAAATCCAGACTCATCAGACCAGGCAATGTTTTTCCAATCTTCTAATGTTCAATTTTGGTGAGCCCGTGCAAATTGTTGCCTCTGTTTCCTGTTCTTAGCTGACAGGAGTTACACCTTTTTTTTCCTTTTTTTTTTTCGGACTATCCTCTGTAAACCCTAGAGATGGTTGTGCGTGGTTCCCCTGTCAAATGGCCAATGGGACTTTTCCATTGGATTTCGGAATATTGCAGAAAAAAATCTCTGTAGCAAGCAAAAATGTATGATACTTGAAAATGTCCACAAATTAACACATCTTTTAAGTCGTAAATGAGATTGCCAGGAGTAAGAATCTAACATTAGGCTTAGAACAAATTACACTATGGTTGCATGACGTCGCCATCACAACAAGGCTGTAAAACCGGATTAAGTGTGATGACATTGTAACAACATGTAAAAGCTTAACCCGACTGGGGTATTTACTGATGTATTTTATGTTGTAGAACAAAACGCAAAAGTCTCTTATGTCTGTATTATCACAGACCTTATTTCAGGCATCTAACCAAAACCCCATTCAAAAAACCCATTGACTTCAAGACAAGGGAACAAAGACTGCTAAAATGCTAACTCATTTCCAGGATTTACAACTCATTCCTGAGCCACTCTGTACTCTGCACATTCAATTTATTGGCCTCACTCAGACTTTCTGTGCCAAGGTTCACATTCCCACGAGAATGCATCCTGCCGACTTTGGTGATCCCTTCACTTTTCTTCTAGTGTCATCATCAGGTCAAAATTTAAATTTGTCCAATAAAGACATTCCCAACAGCCTCTGCTCTGCTTTGTCTTTATTGCTAATTAGCAAAAGTTAGCATGTTAATATGTTAAAGCAATACATGGCATCATACCAGCTTACTTTCGGCATGTTAGCGTTGTCATTGTGGTCATGCTGGCATGCTGACATCAGTGTTTAGCTCATAGAACAGCCTCACAGGGCTGCCACATGGCTTAGTCTAGTTTAACCTTTGCAAAGGTGCTTCAAGACCTACAGAGAGCAACTGTTGTTACAGGCTGACCAGTACTCCCCATGATGAGTCAACTGACCTTTTATCTGTTTATTCATTCTCAGACAGATCAGTAGTCCGCTCACTTACTCAAGGGAGCATCTTAAAACATTCTTTTTGATTATGTATAAATGTACTTCTGCATGCTTTAAGTATTTTCCTTTTTTAAGTTGTAATGAAAATCATAGCCTTGTTAAGGTGCTTTGTTTTTGTTAAGCGTTAAATCAGGGTTAATTGTAGTATATATTGTCTATGTAAGTGAGAGAACCTTTGCAACCTTTACTGTGCAGATGAGAGGAGCATCTGAGTACACTCAACTGTGGAGGATGCTGAGACAGCAGGATGATAAAGCTTAGCTCCAGTAGGGGATCTCCTTAAGCTTCCTCCCTTTGTGTGGGCTGCTCCAACGTTGAAGTATGCAGGGTAAAAACATTACTTGGAACTAGGAAGTTTTTCGTGTGTTGTGTGTGGTATGGATTGATGGGATGCCTTCAGGTGCCCTCAGGTTAGTTCATCTCAGATTTAATCTGGAAATTGTGTGTTTTTTTCTCTCCTGAAAACAGCTTTACTTTGACAAAAGCGACTCAAACTAAATATTTTTTAATTGGGTGACACTACTGAAAAAAAAGCCTTCAGAGCTGTCTTGTCTGTCACCATTCTGTGCTCTTTCTTCTTATTTGTAGCTAAGTGTTAAGAGTGTTTGAGTCTATTCTTAGGAGCTGAGCACTCCCCTTGCCATGTTACACCTCCTGTGTGACAGTCTTCTTCTATGTCCTCAGGTCCTAAATCAATGGAGTCTAAATGACCATACCCATGCTCTGCTGCTGGTGTTTCTTGCCTTTGAATTTGCCTTTGAAACATGTGTCCTGGTGCATGAAGAAAATATAACTTTGAGACCAGTCTGGGTCTCCTTGATCTCTTGGAAGCACAGGGACCATGGGGCCTCCAGGGACCACCCAAGATGGGACAAGGGGGCGGCGGACGTCCATGCCCTGCCAACCAAAATCTATCATGATTGTCCATTCAACACCTTCAGGAGAGGGAAATCAGTGTGAGAGCTACGTAATAAATGTAAGGCAGTGCAGTTGTACTCTTGTCTATTTTTAATAATAAAGTAAATTTGATAAGCCTCAGCTGGTCTTACTTGAATATACAAGTTTAATTATAACAATAATTGGATCAGAGAAGCTCTTGGTAAAGCACCAACATGGACAGAGACATGCCAAAAGCTTAGCAGAGTCTTCTCAGTCTTATATTGTTTATTTCACATATCAGACAGAACTGTTTAACACCTCAGAGTCTCCTCACATGCCTGCATGCAGGCAGACTATGAGGAGGAAAATATCTTAAGCACTGTCATACACTTTCAAACTGTTATTATTATTCATGATTATACTCACATACTTCCATATTTGATATCTTTTCCACAGCAAGCAGTGATTTGGATTTTCCAAGAAAACACTGTACGACTTTGATTTAAGGGCGTCTTGTTGGCTTGAAAACCTGTGAGAGAGGAGAATAACATTCATTACCTTTTTTTGCTTTTTCCAGAGAGATGCAGACTCACCACTTTCTCTTGCGGACATCATGCCAGGGAATTTTCCAGAGCTTTCAACAGCCATGCGTAGGCATAAAAGCACCACAGATATCCCTTTTCGTGGTAACATTTGCTTGCTTCCACCACCCACCCTCGGTCTCACAGAAACAGAGCAAGCCCTCTTGCGTCGCTCGTCACTGAGAGAGACCAACACTGTGTCACGCTACCCTCGCCATGCTCTCAGCGTGCCTAACATGGGCAGCACAACTCCCCTTCGTGTCACTAACAGTCCCCTCCGCAGCACCCAGCTCTCACCTGTACACAGCAACATATCCAGCCCTAGAGAGGTGGAGAGGCTGGCTAAAGCCCGGAGTAAACTCCTGGAGAGTGAGTGTAACCAAACCCCCACCCTTCCTCCAGAAACCAGAGAGCAAATTCGCTACGTCTCCAAGGATGGAAAGTGTCGCGTCAACCTGGGCTACATATCTGAGAGGGGTCGCTTTCTGTCTGACATCTTTACCTCTTTTGTGGACCTTCAGTACCGCTGGTTTCTATTTGTATTCATGATGTGCTACATCACCACCTGGTTCTTGTTTGCTGGGCTCTACTTCTTGAATGCTTTCTTCCGAGGTGACCTAGGGCAAGAGCGACCCCTGAGCACCCATGTAGAACACCTTGTAGACCAAAGGCCCTGCTATTTAGGTGTAGATGGCTTCATCTCAGCTCTACTCTTCTCCGTGGAAACGCAGCGCACCATTGGTTATGGGTCACGCACTGTTTCTCCCTCCTGCCACGAAGGCATTCTGCTAGTTATGATACAGTGCATTGTTGGGTCCATGATAGATGCACTCATGGTGGGTTGCATGTTTGTTAAAATATCCAGACCTAAGAAGCGGGCTGAGACACTACTTTTCAGTCGCACCTGCGTTATTGCCAACCGTGATGACCAGCTATGTTTGATGTTCCGCTTGGGGGACCTGAGAGAAAGCCACATGGTGGATGCCAAGATCCGTGCAAAGTTAATCAAGTCGCGCCAAACAGCCGAGGGCGAGTTCTTGCCACTGGAGCAGACGGAGATTGACCTCGGCTACGAAACTGGGTCAGACCGACTCTTCCTGGTGGAGCCTCAAGTCATTCAGCACAATATTGACTCTAACAGCCCCTTTTGGGAGCTGGGCCCTCAGCAGCTTAGACGACAACAGTTTGAGATAATCGTTATCTTGGAGGGCATTGTGGAGGCCACAGGTGAGTAATCAGTAATAGTAGTAGTCAAAGAGAGATATAGCAGATATCGCACAAGATCTAAGAGTGTTCATTTATTGTCATTATACAAAGCAGGGTTGCACAAGAAATGCAAGATGTAGTCTCTTTAAGTGTCTCATCAAAAGAGACTCACTGCAGCCTGTTTTATTTTGCTGGACGGATCAGTGAATGACAACAACCCCGCCCACATTTTAAAGAGTACTGTTTGCAGTGGATAGCGAGGGTCTAGGTACCGTGCCTGAGGGGTTACTTCTGGTTCCAAAGGAGCTAAAAAAAAATCCATTCAAACGGCACTCTGAGAACTTTGATCATTCCTAGTTCTTGCGGTGCAGCCCATACAAAAAGTGGGGTTCTTAAAACTATGAAGAAGTTCCTTGGGTCCAAAAACACCCTTAGTCTTGATTTCACTCCTGCCTAGAGGTCTGCTTCAACTCCCAGCAATTGTATTTGTTTACTGCTCTGTTCACAGCATTGAAAAGTGTGTCAGCCGTTGTCGTTGGGACTTTTCTTTTGTGGTTGGTTTGAGAGATCCAGATGACAGAGAGTGATTGCTAAACATATTTTTTTGTGCTGTGAGCACCACAAGGGACATTTCCAAATCACTTTGACTGGTTTGGCGGGAGGCAGGAGTCTCAAACAGTCAGTGGCTGAAAATCACAAGATGTTATTGTGTAAGTTACAGTGAAAATACTCTTCTAAAGTGTTCATGTTTACTTTCAGTATTGTGCAAAAACTGACAGGGCAATGTTGCATATCCAATCGTTTTGTACAGTCAAGATAATCTGCATTTCTTGGGAAAGTGATTAATTCATAGCATGGCAGATTATAATCTAAATGTTCAAAGGCTGAGGGTAGAAATCCCACAAAAAAAGCTTTAATAAAAATAAAGGGGAAAAAAAAGCAGGAAATGAAATGTCTGAGCCAGTTGGAAAGAATCCCTTTACCCTGTTTTGTTGCTGACTGTTCTGAACAGCGGGTCAGAGTGACCCTGAGGAGCTAAGCAATGCAAGGCCTGTGTTTTTGTTTGTGTTTTTTAATCTTTGTTAGGTTAAAATGGTGATCATCTGATTTGATCAAAAAGTTGTAAATATTAAAGTGTGGCCATTCAGTGGGATAATTTCTTAAAGGTGAGCAAAGTAAGGATAGACTGAGTTCCTCAATACAAGTCTACCTTTTCCTCTCTGATAAGGTGCTCTCTGATAAATTAGTCCTTTAACAACATGCTGAAATCTATTGTATTTAGCTAGTTACAAGCTTGGCTGCATATTGTTGTGCCATTTGTTTTACCCTCCAGTCAGCGTGGTTTTCAAAGTACGATGCTCTGCACTCTGCTTCCATTGACACTTTATAAACATCTAGTGTGTGAGATCTAGTGACATCTAGTGATGAGCTTGTGAATTGCAACCAACTGAAACTTTTCTCGTGCCAAGGTGTAGGATGCGACAACTTAGAGCCAGTGTTTAGTTTGTCCGTGCTGGGCTAAATAAACAATATAAGACTGAGAAGACTCTGCTAAGCTTTTGGCATGTCTCTGTCCATGTTGGTGCTTTACCAAGAGCTTCTCTGATCCAATTATTGTTAAAATTAAACTTGTATATTCAAGTAAGACCAGCTGAGGCTTATCAAATTTACTTTATTATTAAAAATAGACAAGAGTACAACTGCACTGCCTTACATTNAGGCTGTAAAACCGGATTAAGTGTGATGACATTGTAACAACATGTAAAAGCTTAACCCGACTGGGGTATTTACTGATGTATTTTATGTTGTAGAACAAAACGCAAAAGTCTCTTATGTCTGTATTATCACAGACCTTATTTCAGGCATCTAACCAAAACCCCATTCAAAAAACCCATTGACTTCAAGACAAGGGAACAAAGACTGCTAAAATGCTAACTCATTTCCAGGATTTACAACTCATTCCTGAGCCACTCTGTACTCTGCACATTCAATTTATTGGCCTCACTCAGACTTTCTGTGCCAAGGTTCACATTCCCACGAGAATGCATCCTGCCGACTTTGGTGATCCCTTCACTTTTCTTCTAGTGTCATCATCAGGTCAAAATTTAAATTTGTCCAATAAAGACATTCCCAACAGCCTCTGCTCTGCTTTGTCTTTATTGCTAATTAGCAAAAGTTAGCATGTTAATATGTTAAAGCAATACATGGCATCATACCAGCTTACTTTCGGCATGTTAGCGTTGTCATTGTGGTCATGCTGGCATGCTGACATCAGTGTTTAGCTCATAGAACAGCCTCACAGGGCTGCCACATGGCTTAGTCTAGTTTAACCTTTGCAAAGGTGCTTCAAGACCTACAGAGAGCAACTGTTGTTACAGGCTGACCAGTACTCCCCATGATGAGTCAACTGACCTTTTATCTGTTTATTCATTCTCAGACAGATCAGTAGTCCGCTCACTTACTCAAGGGAGCATCTTAAAACATTCTTTTTGATTATGTATAAATGTACTTCTGCATGCTTTAAGTATTTTCCTTTTTTAAGTTGTAATGAAAATCATAGCCTTGTTAAGGTGCTTTGTTTTTGTTAAGCGTTAAATCAGGGTTAATTGTAGTATATATTGTCTATGTAAGTGAGAGAACCTTTGCAACCTTTACTGTGCAGATGAGAGGAGCATCTGAGTACACTCAACTGTGGAGGATGCTGAGACAGCAGGATGATAAAGCTTAGCTCCAGTAGGGGATCTCCTTAAGCTTCCTCCCTTTGTGTGGGCTGCTCCAACGTTGAAGTATGCAGGGTAAAAACATTACTTGGAACTAGGAAGTTTTTCGTGTGTTGTGTGTGGTATGGATTGATGGGATGCCTTCAGGTGCCCTCAGGTTAGTTCATCTCAGATTTAATCTGGAAATTGTGTGTTTTTTTCTCTCCTGAAAACAGCTTTACTTTGACAAAAGCGACTCAAACTAAATATTTTTTAATTGGGTGACACTACTGAAAAAAAAGCCTTCAGAGCTGTCTTGTCTGTCACCATTCTGTGCTCTTTCTTCTTATTTGTAGCTAAGTGTTAAGAGTGTTTGAGTCTATTCTTAGGAGCTGAGCACTCCCCTTGCCATGTTACACCTCCTGTGTGACAGTCTTCTTCTATGTCCTCAGGTCCTAAATCAATGGAGTCTAAATGACCATACCCATGCTCTGCTGCTGGTGTTTCTTGCCTTTGAATTTGCCTTTGAAACATGTGTCCTGGTGCATGAAGAAAATATAACTTTGAGACCAGTCTGGGTCTCCTTGATCTCTTGGAAGCACAGGGACCATGGGGCCTCCAGGGACCACCCAAGATGGGACAAGGGGGCGGCGGACGTCCATGCCCTGCCAACCAAAATCTATCATGATTGTCCATTCAACACCTTCAGGAGAGGGAAATCAGTGTGAGAGCTACGTAATAAATGTAAGGCAGTGCAGTTGTACTCTTGTCTATTTTTAATAATAAAGTAAATTTGATAAGCCTCAGCTGGTCTTACTTGAATATACAAGTTTAATTATAACAATAATTGGATCAGAGAAGCTCTTGGTAAAGCACCAACATGGACAGAGACATGCCAAAAGCTTAGCAGAGTCTTCTCAGTCTTATATTGTTTATTTCACATATCAGACAGAACTGTTTAACACCTCAGAGTCTCCTCACATGCCTGCATGCAGGCAGACTATGAGGAGGAAAATATCTTAAGCACTGTCATACACTTTCAAACTGTTATTATTATTCATGATTATACTCACATACTTCCATATTTGATATCTTTTCCACAGCAAGCAGTGATTTGGATTTTCCAAGAAAACACTGTACGACTTTGATTTAAGGGCGTCTTGTTGGCTTGAAAACCTGTGAGAGAGGAGAATAACATTCATTACCTTTTTTTGCTTTTTCCAGAGAGATGCAGACTCACCACTTTCTCTTGCGGACATCATGCCAGGGAATTTTCCAGAGCTTTCAACAGCCATGCGTAGGCATAAAAGCACCACAGATATCCCTTTTCGTGGTAACATTTGCTTGCTTCCACCACCCACCCTCGGTCTCACAGAAACAGAGCAAGCCCTCTTGCGTCGCTCGTCACTGAGAGAGACCAACACTGTGTCACGCTACCCTCGCCATGCTCTCAGCGTGCCTAACATGGGCAGCACAACTCCCCTTCGTGTCACTAACAGTCCCCTCCGCAGCACCCAGCTCTCACCTGTACACAGCAACATATCCAGCCCTAGAGAGGTGGAGAGGCTGGCTAAAGCCCGGAGTAAACTCCTGGAGAGTGAGTGTAACCAAACCCCCACCCTTCCTCCAGAAACCAGAGAGCAAATTCGCTACGTCTCCAAGGATGGAAAGTGTCGCGTCAACCTGGGCTACATATCTGAGAGGGGTCGCTTTCTGTCTGACATCTTTACCTCTTTTGTGGACCTTCAGTACCGCTGGTTTCTATTTGTATTCATGATGTGCTACATCACCACCTGGTTCTTGTTTGCTGGGCTCTACTTCTTGAATGCTTTCTTCCGAGGTGACCTAGGGCAAGAGCGACCCCTGAGCACCCATGTAGAACACCTTGTAGACCAAAGGCCCTGCTATTTAGGTGTAGATGGCTTCATCTCAGCTCTACTCTTCTCCGTGGAAACGCAGCGCACCATTGGTTATGGGTCACGCACTGTTTCTCCCTCCTGCCACGAAGGCATTCTGCTAGTTATGATACAGTGCATTGTTGGGTCCATGATAGATGCACTCATGGTGGGTTGCATGTTTGTTAAAATATCCAGACCTAAGAAGCGGGCTGAGACACTACTTTTCAGTCGCACCTGCGTTATTGCCAACCGTGATGACCAGCTATGTTTGATGTTCCGCTTGGGGGACCTGAGAGAAAGCCACATGGTGGATGCCAAGATCCGTGCAAAGTTAATCAAGTCGCGCCAAACAGCCGAGGGCGAGTTCTTGCCACTGGAGCAGACGGAGATTGACCTCGGCTACGAAACTGGGTCAGACCGACTCTTCCTGGTGGAGCCTCAAGTCATTCAGCACAATATTGACTCTAACAGCCCCTTTTGGGAGCTGGGCCCTCAGCAGCTTAGACGACAACAGTTTGAGATAATCGTTATCTTGGAGGGCATTGTGGAGGCCACAGGTGAGTAATCAGTAATAGTAGTAGTCAAAGAGAGATATAGCAGATATCGCACAAGATCTAAGAGTGTTCATTTATTGTCATTATACAAAGCAGGGTTGCACAAGAAATGCAAGATGTAGTCTCTTTAAGTGTCTCATCAAAAGAGACTCACTGCAGCCTGTTTTATTTTGCTGGACGGATCAGTGAATGACAACAACCCCGCCCACATTTTAAAGAGTACTGTTTGCAGTGGATAGCGAGGGTCTAGGTACCGTGCCTGAGGGGTTACTTCTGGTTCCAAAGGAGCTAAAAAAAAATCCATTCAAACGGCACTCTGAGAACTTTGATCATTCCTAGTTCTTGCGGTGCAGCCCATACAAAAAGTGGGGTTCTTAAAACTATGAAGAAGTTCCTTGGGTCCAAAAACACCCTTAGTCTTGATTTCACTCCTGCCTAGAGGTCTGCTTCAACTCCCAGCAATTGTATTTGTTTACTGCTCTGTTCACAGCATTGAAAAGTGTGTCAGCCGTTGTCGTTGGGACTTTTCTTTTGTGGTTGGTTTGAGAGATCCAGATGACAGAGAGTGATTGCTAAACATATTTTTTTGTGCTGTGAGCACCACAAGGGACATTTCCAAATCACTTTGACTGGTTTGGCGGGAGGCAGGAGTCTCAAACAGTCAGTGGCTGAAAATCACAAGATGTTATTGTGTAAGTTACAGTGAAAATACTCTTCTAAAGTGTTCATGTTTACTTTCAGTATTGTGCAAAAACTGACAGGGCAATGTTGCATATCCAATCGTTTTGTACAGTCAAGATAATCTGCATTTCTTGGGAAAGTGATTAATTCATAGCATGGCAGATTATAATCTAAATGTTCAAAGGCTGAGGGTAGAAATCCCACAAAAAAAGCTTTAATAAAAATAAAGGGGAAAAAAAAGCAGGAAATGAAATGTCTGAGCCAGTTGGAAAGAATCCCTTTACCCTGTTTTGTTGCTGACTGTTCTGAACAGCGGGTCAGAGTGACCCTGAGGAGCTAAGCAATGCAAGGCCTGTGTTTTTGTTTGTGTTTTTTAATCTTTGTTAGGTTAAAATGGTGATCATCTGATTTGATCAAAAAGTTGTAAATATTAAAGTGTGGCCATTCAGTGGGATAATTTCTTAAAGGTGAGCAAAGTAAGGATAGACTGAGTTCCTCAATACAAGTCTACCTTTTCCTCTCTGATAAGGTGCTCTCTGATAAATTAGTCCTTTAACAACATGCTGAAATCTATTGTATTTAGCTAGTTACAAGCTTGGCTGCATATTGTTGTGCCATTTGTTTTACCCTCCAGTCAGCGTGGTTTTCAAAGTACGATGCTCTGCACTCTGCTTCCATTGACACTTTATAAACATCTAGTGTGTGAGATCTAGTGACATCTAGTGATGAGCTTGTGAATTGCAACCAACTGAAACTTTTCTCGTGCCAAGGTGTAGGATGCGACAACTTAGAGCCAGTGTTTAGTTTGTCCGTGCTGGGCTAAATAAACAATATAAGACTGAGAAGACTCTGCTAAGCTTTTGGCATGTCTCTGTCCATGTTGGTGCTTTACCAAGAGCTTCTCTGATCCAATTATTGTTATAATTAAACTTGTATATTCAACGACATGGCTGACTTTGTGAAAGATAACTTACTCCGTATGTAGATAAAGGCTAAACAGCTCACTCTAATGTAACAAGAATACAACAATTATTATTTTCCGGTGATTACCCTAATGAACACATAGCCAGGAAACGTGCATTGCTTAAACAATTTTCTCAAACTTTTGGAAAATAAATGTGCATCATCTTTCTGACAGTAACACTGTTTTCATCGAAACATATTTGTAAACTGTAAGCTGTCAATGAAATGCTGCAAAAAGTACAAGACTGTTTAGTCTCAAATTGGAAACAACTGTGTGAACAGAAGGGCCTCTGTCTCTTGCAAGTATATGCGGTAAAACTAACTGCAAATGAGAGACTCCCTAGGGGCACAGCAGAGAAAGAGGGAAGATGGAAAAAGTGAAGCAGTAGGAGCAAGAATGCTTCCTAATGACATTCAAGCACTGACACAGAGTCAAGAATTTCCTTAGTATTGCTGGAATTGTTTTCAGTGCTGACTATGATGCTATGACACAAAGTTGAATAGTCAAGTGCAAATTATAGAGAGAATTCAGAGCATTTCTTACAATATAAATGTACCCTATGCCTAATCATGAGTATACTATGAATGAATGTTTTATCCACCCACCAACTTCCCTTATACACACACTAATAGCTGTTTGTATGAGGCAGATTCATAGCAGTATTGAGGTATGGATTGGTATATCTTTGCTCTGAGTTGAACATTATGGGAAGTGAGTGTTTGGTTGTTAAGTGTGAGTAAGATCAGAGTAATATTCATCTTTGATTGTGTCTGAGTCTTTGGTAGGAGCATTTACTGTAATGATACCATTAGGCGTGTAGATTTTTGTGCAATGGACATGGCTTACTGAGAAGGAAAACAAAGTGTCTGCACGCATAGATGACAGTAGAAAAAAAATGCCTTCAGTTTCAACTCAAGCTGCACACAGCTGTACAAATTCAAGCCATTGAGCAAATTCAAGAAACCAGATGATAAAGGTGTCTGGAAAGTTGGAACTTTTGAAATCCTGCTTTGTAAGTCAGAATGCACTGAGAATTGGCACATTCTTTGGTTTCTTACGCATGTCAAAAAACAAGATAATACAGCAAAACTGGAATTGACCTACGTCCTCCCAGAGAACAGACGCAACATAATTTCTACACAGTCTACAGGAGGGAACAATGAGAGGATATGTAGCCTCTCCTGCTGATAAGCTAAAAAATACAAACATCAGAAATGCCAGCAGCCACATCCCTGTTAAACTGCAGCTGAACTGCAGCCCAGTAATTTTCTCACAATGATGGTACTTTTGGTTTTTCAAATGTCTGCGTTTCTGTAAATGACGTTATTTAAAATGCTGTTATTTTGTTTCCTGTCTTGTTTATGTTTATTTTTTTTCCTGAAATGCTTTTGTGTTTCCTTTTGCTTTTTGATTTGTTGCCCAGTGTTGTAGTGCTTTACACATGACTACTACACATGACACAAAAACCCTAAGAGCTGGAAAAAATGTGATTCAGTGCAACAGCCATGCAGATGACAGTAACATAAGAGGAAACTTAAAATTACATTGTTTTAAAGGTATACTACGCAGGATTTGTGGGTAAATGTTTGTAAATTGTACTGCCAAAAAGTGTACATGAAAGCCAAAACCAGATTGGCATTATACTTTATGACTGGGTTATAATCTGCCGTGCTTCTGCCCCTGACGTCATGCTTTTACTTTGTTTTATTCATTATTCATTCAAGCTTAATGTTTCCTATTTTATATCGTTAATTGCCCACGTGTGTTTTGATTGTCTGCCCCACCTTAATTGGTTTCACCTGTCCCCCATTAGCCCCGCAGTCAGCCTACCTCCTGCTCATCTGTTTTCACTCCTGAATAAGTCATTCCCACTTACTCCAGCCCACTTCCTTTGTTCTATCTACCCGGAAAGGATGTATTTGTGCACACTGGTTTCCAGTCTGGGGGTGATAAAAGATATGTGGCCGAACTTAAAACTGTGTATGGTCTCTACTCTTCGCTCTTCAAGAATGCCTTTTTGTCAATTTGTATTTGTTGCAGTTGAGCTAGTTTTGGAATATTGCTATGCCAATATGAAATTTCTACTGTACGACTGTTTGTCCATGTGTTGTGTGAGGCACATTATTTAGTTTTTGTCTTCTGTTTTTTTCTTAGTTTGTTTCTGTTTATGTGATGATGGAGTGATGCTGTTTGTTTGTGTATTGGTTGTGTTGTATGTAGTCACCACCTGCTTATACTGAACTCCACTTCTAAATGTCAAAAGTGACAAGAAATTACAAGAAAATGATGAAAAAGAGAAAAAAAAAGAGAAGAAAAATAAATAAATAAATAAAAAAGAGAGAAAAGGTACCCACTAGGGGGAGTGGTGGTTGGGCTTTAAGAAAAAGGGGTGTATGAATTTTATTTTATTTCTTAATATATCCTCCTGGGACCCTGGGACCTCGTAAGAGGACATCACATGTTGGGTTTACTTGACCTTATACTTTATTCTACTTTTTTGTGCCATCTAGTGGTAGTAAGAGCACAATACACTTATCCATGTAAAACAAGATAACAGCCAACTCTGCCAAGTCAGTCTGCAGCCGATCCTGACACAAAAGTGAACAAGGTCCAAAACCTGATCAGATTTCATTCATTCAACTAAATGAACTTGTTAATTTTAGAGTTGAGATTTTTTTTTTCAAGATATAAACTTAAAAAAAATCTCACAGGATAAGGGTACGATGAAGGTCTAAACACAAGCTATATTCAGAGCCTTCACTCTGCATTAGAACATTAGATAAGCTAAGATAAGATACACCGTTAAAACAACCAAATATCTCAGAACAGAGTGTAAGGGAAAAGAAAACATTGAATTTGTCAACAACAAAAAAAAAACAGTTTGTATGATTGTTTAAAAAAACAAAATACCGAGAACTGCATTAAAAGTTCCAAAAATAATCAGGAAAACTAATCTTTGATGCAATATGTGTAAATAATCTTCTCAACATTCATCCAAATGGCTTGTTTTAGACAAACGTCCTGCAGTTTTTGTGTTGTTTCTTTAGGTTACATTAACTGTTTATCAGTTGTTCTGTACTGTTATTGTTATTCATTGAATATAGTATGAAATATCTATAGAATATGTCCTTTACTCAGGGGTTGTCAGTTTAGAGTCAATGAAACAGTGACATCTTGTGGCTAATGTTGTGTACTTCAGTTTTAAATCACTGATGCATTTTTCATGTTTGAAAGAGCACTCACAGCCACTTCCATCTCCTCGTTTTACACACAGGCATGATGTGCCAAGCCAAAACATCCTACATAGAGACGGAGATAGAGTGGGGCGCTCGCTTTGAGCCCTGCATGACTTTGGAGAAGGGCTCGTTCAGAGTCGACCTGCGGCGGTTCCACAGCACCTACAAGGTCCCGCTGCCGGACTGCAGCGCCAGCCAGGTCCACCAGTTAATGCTACTGGCAGAGGACTCCAAAGCCAGCAATTGGGGGACCTGGGCAGAGGGGACGGCAGAGGAAGACAAAGACAAGCAGCCGTCTCATGGAGGATTCAGTTTTGATAACATACTTGAGGAGAGGGCGTCTGAGGACAATGAAAGTGAGGGGAAGCAAGGAAAAAGCTAAACACCGGTTTCTTAAAACGTTTGACCTCACAAGACTCGGTAAGCTAGCCTCTCAGTTCTGTTTTACTAGTTTTGTCATGTGTTAGCAACTAAGTTATTTCCATTCAAGCAGTTTAGCCTCCTGTTGTTTGAGAATATTGTGTCTAAAGGGACACGTTTATCTTAAAATGGAGACTACAGAGGTTGGTCGTCCCACTTTTTACTTGTATTTGAAGCCCTCAAAAACTAGGGGAGAGTGGGGCACAACCTAACCCATTTTAGTTGGGCTAAATTTGAGATTAATTATTTTTGGTTTTATTCTAACATTTAGAATTATTTATTTATTTATAAGGACAACACACATTAATCAACTTTTACTTTCTGTAAATGTGCCAGTGTTAGCCAGTTGGCTAATTTTCAACTGCAGTCCTTTGGCAAGATGTTTTGAAACCAATAAAAGGATAAAAAAAATCACAGGACAATTCACAGGACAAAAGACATACACCTATCAGCCAAATCATTAAATCCACTGACATTGATAACATTGATAATTTCATCACAATGCAGTGTTCTGCTGGGAGACCTTGGGTCCTGGCGTTCATGTGTATGCACTTTACCCACCTAAACATTGTCATAGACCAAGTACCCCCACTTATTGCAGCAGTAACCCCGATGACAGTAGCCCCCCAGCAAGGCAGTGCACTCTGCCACACCGCTAAACTGCTCAGGAATGGTCCAATAAATGTGACAAAGGGTTCAAGGCATCAACCTAACTTGCAAATTCCCAAGATCCTGATCTGATCAAGCAACTGTGGGACAAACTGGTACTCCAGAGGTTTTTTGTCCGGTCCTCGACAGGTCAGAGCCAAGTCTGATCTACGGCGGAGCCTCTGACCTGTCGAGGCATGGACACTGGACCTCTGGGGGTGTCCTGTGTTGTCTGGCAACAAGGCGTTGTCGACAGATCCTTTGAGTCCTGTGGGATGTGAGGTAAGGTACCGGCCCGTCCCACGAATACTCGATCAGATTGGTATCTGGGGAATCTGAAGGCCAGGTTGATGCCTTGAGCTGTTTGTCACGTCCCCTGTGCCATTCCTGAGCAGTTTTTATGGTGTCGCATGGTGCATTGTCCTACCTGAGGGGGTGCAGTTGCCATGAGGGGGTGTATTGGTCTGTAATGGTGTTTGGGTGGGTGCAGCATGTCAAGTGGTATCAACATGAATGCCAGGACCCAAGGTTTTCCAAAAGAACATTGCATTGTAACAAAATGATCAATGTTATTCACTTCACCAGCCAGGGGTTTTAATATTTTAGCCGATCGGTGTAAAGACAGCATTAACCACAGCAATTACAAATTTTCAAGCTAGAACAGTTGCCATGCAAAGCAACAAGCAACAGCAGAGCACCAACATACAGATTAGCATTACATTCAGACATGCAGAGCAGCAATATAAAATAAAAACAGATAAGATACAAAAGTCATTATGTATGATCAAATACACTAACACACAGTGAGTTAGCAGAAGGTTAGCGCAAAATAACAACAACATTTCTATGAGCAATGTACTGTATTGATTAGAAATGTTCACGTCTGATCGTCCAAAAACAGGTCTTGAGCCTTTGTTTGAAGGTGTGATAGGTGTTACAGTTTCTCATCTCAGATGGAAGATCGTCCCACATGCACATCTCTGCTACAAATGAACATCTGTTTGTTTTTTTCTGAAACTAGAACTGAAGTGAAATGTTACAACATATCCTATGGGTGAGGTTAATTTTAACAGGCAGAGGGTTAGTTTTAACACTTGCTGGAAAAGTCTGTTTAACACAATTAATTCAATTGTATCTATATACTATAGGGCAGTGGTTCCCAACTGTTGGGTCACGGTCCAAAAGTGGGTCCTGGGCTCATTCTGAATTAACTGCAAGTGACTCACAAATGTGTCAAATTTGTCAAAAAAACCCCACTATATTGCCAAGTACAGCGAATTTCTGCCAGAGCACTTTTATTTTGAAGTGCCGTTTCTTGTTGTAGAGTGAGTGACTAACAGACAGCTACTTGACAGCAGAGACAGCAGCCAAGCTTGACATTAAGGCCAAACACAAGTATGATGCTGACTATATTAAAGTGTGTGGACGTTATCTAATGACTAAGCAGAAATCTGGAATCCAATGACTGGACCAGTCGGGAACCACTGCTATAGGGTGATACTGTTTATGGATCTATTTATGATAGATATTCAGACATCTGTACATCCCTCATCAAACCACCAATTCTTCATGAATGGAAAGATCGACACATAAATGGATTCATAGTATGTGTGGATATCACATATTTTTCTCTTTTCATCTGTGATAGATTGATGGATAGATGTGTAGATACGTATCTCTCCATCTACATCAGGGGAAGGACAGGTATCCACACAGGTATACATCCGTTACTCTATTATCAATGTTCAGTGGTTGAATATTTATAATAGAATATAGTTGAATATATTGATAGATATGCAAAGATTGGATAACCTAGATCCACCTGTCAAAATATGAGTATTGAATGTATGACTTTGACTTTGAAATTGTCAATAAGATACCCGACAAATTAAAAATACCTCTCTGTGGAATTTCGTGGGTCACTGTCTGGCGGTATTGTGCACAAATGGCCAGAAACAAGAAAGGATCGAATGCAATTCGATTTCAGTGTGAAATGGAAGTCTAAAATGTCAGGAGGAATGGAGTGACCTTACTCTCCTTAAAGTCTGGGTAAAGCAAAAATGAATGGGTAATGAGTTTGTCACACTACAGAAAAATGGGTTATTAAGCACTCAGCCAAATTTAAGTGATTAAAAAAGTCAGCAAGTATATAAAATCATGAAAATATAGAATAGGCAGTATTCTCTGCTCTGAGACACTGGGAGCAGCTGTCTGCTGCATGTGCTGAAGCCATGCCAACTCAGGAAAAGCTGCAGCCTCTTTTAATTGTAGCACGATAACGGTGGATGTTCCATCTAGCAGCTTTATTGGACTTGTACAGCCATACATGTTTGAGCCACCTGACACAGAATCAAATTGGCAGCCAGAGGACACTGACGTGCCTGAATATTAACCTCGTTCTTCTCAGTCTGCAACAGAATGGTCATTTTTATTTTTTCAAACAACAACAAAACTCAACGCCTCTAGGGACCTTATCACAATGTTTATTTACCATAACTTCCAGGTAGAAAATCCACATGTTACGCACATTAAAATCAAACAGTGCTGAGCAGACATTGTCTTAGTTAGTTTTTAGCTACCAAAAAGGCCCACCCAAAAACAAAGTTCAGTATAAGTTTAAGTGGAAGCTATATTTAGAATATTTTCTCCACTTTACCTTGCCGTCAGATAGTTTTTTTTGACAGTAACTGAAGCAGTTATATCAAAGCCACCAGACTCCACTGACAAAAAAGGTCATTTTATGTAGCGGAGCACTGAGTTGCTGGTCTGCTGCTGCCTCAATAGCTTACTGTGTAAGTTTAAAACACAACAGATATTAAAATATAGCATACACTTGCACAGGTATTGATTTTTTGGTTCATCAAACATGACAACAAAGCAACAAAGTACCTAAAATAAGCACAACAGAAATGTCAAATGGGTTGGACCACGTGTTTAACTTTATATCTTTAAACGTTACATCTGCGACTGAAAATGATAACAGAAATCTACAATTTTTGCAGACGCTATATATCTCTACAGTTGTAATCAATTACTAGTTTTCTACCCAGAGGTGATTGTTGCTGTTAGTGCGACCTCACAGTAATGTGGGCTAGTGTGAAGGAGGATGGCTCATGCTAAGGGTTGTGCCATTATATCATCAAGCAGGCTTTTCGCCCCGTCCAAAAAATATCCTGGACACAGAAATGGTGAAAAAACAGTCTAACTCCATATTTAAGTACCATATAGTTCTAAGTCTTTCAGGTTTTCAACAAGTGTTGTCTAACATGTATAATGTGTTAAGATAAAAATCTCAGATTTTACTTTACCCTGAATTTAAGCTTATTCTGTTCAAAAGCTATGAACTGTCAAATATGTCTTGTGCACTTGTGACAGCCATCCACATCGTGGGGTTGGTTGTCGTACACAATGGGATTGGTAGTCCTTATGTAATTTTAATAAAGGAAAATGCAAAAAAATTGAAGAAATCTTAAAAATTGATTTAACACGTTTAATTTATTGACATTTTTTAAATTGAAATGCAACAGCCTAACCAGATCATGCATCGAGACAACATAAGCAGGAAAAATCATTCCTATAAGTGCATTTTCATCCTCATATAACATCACAAAGAATAATACAAAGCAGTAGGCTTTACCCAACACTGCAGAGAATGTGAAAAGCATTTACACCTGTGATTTTTGAAAGAAGAAAAGAAAAAGCACAGACAATCATAGAGAAATAAACTGCTCCAAAAATAAAAGGTTGGGTCATTGAGTCACAAAGGTAACATTGTTTAAGAGAAGAGGTTAGGTTAAAAGAAGTTGTGGAGTTGTTTAATTTCAGTCCATTTCTGTATCTTTAATGTGTTTCCCTGTTGGGTTGACTTGTGTTCTAAGATTTAGGAAATAAATCCACTTGTATGACCATACAATAAGCAACGAAGGTGCCATTCCATCTACAGTCAGAACATAGGGCCAAGGTTCATCTGTAGTTCTCTAATGTATTCACTAGAGGGGGCTGTTTTCCTCCAAAGATCTACTAACTTTTGCTCATAGATGCACACACACACACACACACACACACACACGCACACACACACATATGTACATACACAATTTACACTTGTGATTTTTTTGCTAGCGACCTAGCTAACCACCACATGTTGCAGCCTAGCTAGAAAAAAACAAAAACTATCTAAACTATCACTCTCCTTTCACACTTTTTAATGGTAATAATTTCTTTTTAATTACAAACCCACTGTGTAAAAGCCTAGAATAGAAACACAGAAGATCTAAATATTTACATTTTGACATGGAAAAATCCTAAAAGTCCTTTCACCTCAATGTCAAGTTTCTTACTCCTGAAATGATCCTGTAGGTGACCTCTGACCCCAATTCTGGAAATTTCAGTCCCAACACTTTTTAACAGCACCTTTCAAGAAACAAGATCTAATGAATGTGTCAACCAACCCTGTTCTCCCCTAATATTAACCATGTAAAGGTATGTCGAATTCTGAATCACTTACTCCTCATGTTGCTACTTATCGAGCAGTAACCTGGTTTTTGGTGACTTAATTTAAATTTGTTTTTTCTGTTCAAGAACAAAATGATTTGGCAAACTGATTGTGTTTACTCAGTTGGTAAAACAAGTCATGTCAGACCCACTGTGTTTCTGCTTTTACAAAAAAAATACAATTTAGCTTTTACTGAGAGAGGGGTTTGTAGGTTTCATTTTTAGATACAATGTCTTTCTCAAATATTAGGAGTTAGGAGTTTAATTGTTATCATGTCTGATATTCATATTGTGTCAAGAAGCATTTTGTGTTGGGACAAAAATAATTCTGATATCAAATAAGAATTCAGATGATGAAATAGATACCAACAAATAATTTCAATATGATGAGTGCTGACATTCAGTCAGTGTTAACTTTGATGTGGTTGTGATCTGGTCTGATGTACAACATGTGATACAAAAGATGAAATATAAAGGAAAGAAGAACAAAGACTATAAGTGTGTTTGTAAATGCATGTCAGGTCTTCTTTATGGAGTGAGAAGATCCAGTGAAGAAGATCCAATGATTCCAGTGGATGGCGAGCTTCCAGCTTGATTTC